GCTGGGGCTGTCTCCGTGGCCTCTGAGCTGAGGAGGGCACTGCTTTTCGCTCTTCTTTTGCAAGTGCAGGAGAACATTATTTTTTTCTTTTTTCCATCCTTCCTTCCTCGTTTTCTTCACTCTCTCTTTTTAATTTTTCTTTGAGATGGAGTTTCTCATCACCTAGGCTGGAGTGCAATGGCGCGGTCTCGGCTCACTGCAACCTCCACCTCCGAGGTTCAAACGACTCTCCTGCCTCAGCCTCCCGAGTAGCTGGGATTACAGATGCCCGCCACCACACCTAATTTTTGTATTTTAAGTAGAGACAGAGTTTCACCATATTGGCCAGGCTGGTCACGAACTTACCTCCGGTGATCCACCTGCCTCGGCTTCCCAAAGTGTTGGGATTACAGGCATGAGCCACTGCGCTTGGCCTTCTTTTTAATTTTTTTTTTTTTTTTGCTAAGTGCTTTATTAGATATAATTTGCACACTCATTTGTCCATCCATTTAAAGTGTTCAGTTCCACAGTTTTTAGTATATTCAAAAACTTGTGCAACTATCATCACAATTTGATTTTATTTTTATTTGTTTACTTTTTAGAGACAGGGTCTTGCTCTGTCGCCCAGGGGCTGGAGTACAGTGGCGCAATCACAGCTCACTGCAGCCTCGAAATCCTGACCTCGAGCAGTCCTCCTGCCTCAGCCTCCCTGAGTGCTGGAATTACAGGTGTGAGCCCCGTGCCTGGCCCTCAGTCAGTTGGAGAACATGTTCATTTCCCCACAGAGGAGGCCTGTAGCCTGGGGGGTGGCACATGGCCCTCTGTGCCTGGCTTCTCTCACTGCGACGTCCTCAAGATTTACCCACATGGGGGGGCCTGTGTCACAGCCTCGCTCCTGTTCGTGGCTGTGTCATACTCCACAGCAAGGTTGGACGTGTTGTGTTGATGCCTTCTTCCACTGGTGACATGTGGGTTCTTTTCACCTTTAAGGGCGGTTGTGAATTGTGCTGCAGGGGAACATGGTGTACGAGTTTCTGCATGGACGGGTGCTTTCATTTCTCTGGGGCAGATCCCCAGGGGTGGGATGGCTGGATCAAGTGGGATTGATGTGTGGCGTTTCCGGGAACCTCCAGGCCACCCTGCAGAGCAGCTGCTCCCCATCACCCTCCTGCCTGCCTGTGTTTGAGGGCCCCGGTTTCTCCGCATCCCCGCCCACACCGTGACCATCTGCCGTTCTGATTCTGGCGTCCTGGTGGGTGTGGGGTGGTGGCTCATCGTGGCTCTCACGTGCATTTCCCTGGCGCTGAGTGCCGCTGGGCACCTTCTCCTGTGCGCGTTGCCTGTTTGTCTGCTTTGGAGAGCTGTCTACCCAAGTCCGTGGCCTGTTGTTTTGTTCATTTGTTTTTGAGACAGGGCTTCACTCCTGTTGCCCAGGCTGGGAGGCTGGAGTATAGTGACGTGATCTCTGCTCACTGCAGCCTCCGCCTCCTGCAATTCTCCTACCTCAGCCTCCCGAGCTGGGATTACAGGTGCAGACTACCATACCTGGCTAATTTTTGTATTTTTTATAGAGACGGAGCCTCACTATCTTGTCCTTGCTGGTGTCAAACTCCAGCCTGCCTCGGTCTCCCAAAGTGCTGGGATTACAGGCATGAGCCACCGTGCCCACCAGCCTTGCTGCATTTTTATTGGGCTGCTTGTCTTTGGCTGTGAGTTGAGACCCCCCCCTCCTTGGCGTGGCCCCGTCTCAAGTGTGTCACTGTTTGCAGGCAGCTCCTCCAGCCCTTCCAGGACGTCTGAGCCCCCGAGCCGTCGTGTGCCGCCTGTCTGCCGTGTTCTGGTGATGTGGAGGTCGGCCGCAGGGCCGCGTTTCAGGACATCCCCTCTTCACCGTCGAGCTGTGTTGCATGTGCGTCAAGGTTATGGAGCGTGGGGATTGTTAACCATTTTAGTTTTCCTCTTTGTAATGTACCTCCCAAGCAATGTCATTTCAAAAGGCACAAATGGCCAGGCACGGTGGCTCATGCCTGTAATCCCAACACTTTGGGAGGCCAAGGTGGGAGGATCACTTCAGGCCAGGAGTTTATTAGCAGGCTGGGCAACATGGCAAGACCCTGTCTCTACAAAAAGTACAAAAATGAGCCAGGTGTGCTGGCACACACCTGTGATCCCAGCTGCTTGGGAGGCTGAGGCGGGAGGATTGCTTGAGCCCAGAAGGTGGAGGCTGCAGTGAACCGTGACTGCGCCACTGCCCTCCAGCCTAGGCAACAGAGCCAGACGCTGTCTCAAAAAACAGTAATGATTTTTAAAAAGTGGAGACAGCTGCCCCTAGGGGGCGTCGGTGGGTGGAGTGCCTGAGCACCTTTGCAGGGAGCGGCTCCAGGTGGAAGGGCTCCCTGGGTCCCCCCAGCGTGGGTCCGCCACACGCCTTTGTCACCCAGCATTGCAGTGTGTGCTGCCAGCAGCTGTGGCCACAAGCTTTTCAGATGAGCCCTTGACCCTGCGGCGAGGTGTGGGGGGGCCCCCATTTTATTATTTATTTATCTGTTTTTGAGACATCCCTTGGGCCGCCCAGCCCTGCCCCAGGCCCTGTCCTTCCTGGGTGGAGCTGGTGTGGGGAGGACACGGGAGTGCTGCAGGCTCTATACTGCACAGGTCACCCTGCGGCCAGGCCTGTGGGGCAGGCGGGCTCTGATGACCTGGAGGTCAGAGCCTGCAGAGGGTGGGTGGGCCAGCCCCTGACAGGACTCTTGCTTAAGAGCTTCCTGGGAGCTGATGGCCTTTGCAGTGGGTCACTGTGGGCAGGAAGAGACCATGTATGAGTTGCCTGCAGAGAGGCAGCCAGGGATGAGAGCTGCTGAGTGCAGATGAACCCAGCGCCTCACCAGGTGCCAGAGCGCAGGGGGAGACTCTCGAGGTCACGACAGTGCCCTGACGTCACGTGCAGCCCGCCGTCTACCTCCCGTGTGGCCTAGGCCCACGACCGCCCCTTGTGGGCCTCCGCGCCCTGCTCGTAAGCTCAGTCGACTGTGTCACCACCTGTGATACACAGAGCAGAGTCAGGGACCCAGTAAGTGCTGATGTGGGGACCACTGTGGCCACCACCGCATATGGGCACCGTCTGCGGCAGATCCAGGGATGGCCTCAGGCCTTCTGCCCAGCCTCTTAGGGCTGGGGACCAGCGGGAGGCCCGAGGGAATGACGATCTGCTGCCTGTCCTCCCTGCTCTCCCACGTCCGCCCTCACCAGTGCCCAACGAAGGCTGGCACGGAGGGTCACACAGCGGTCCAGGCACGGCCTCTGCTCCCTCTGAGCTGGTGGCTTCCTGGGGATAGTCTTGTCTGTTGCCACAGTCCGCTGTCTGGAACGCGCGTGCCTGGGTGAACGCTGCATGGCCTCGTCTGGGTGAGAGCAGGAGGGTAGGTGTGGCGTGCGAGGGATTGCCGGGCGTGCGAGGGATTGCTGGGCCTGTGGGGCTGGCACAGTTGCGGGGAGGATTAGGTCTGGGCCTTGGCTGTGGGTGAGGGGCAGTGTGGGACAGTGTGGTGGCCTAGGAGGCCCCGCGTGATCAGAGGCAGCTCCTGTGATTGGGCCACGTGCTGTCCACGGTGCACTCGGGGCCTCCTGTGCAGACACTGGCTTTGTGGCTACCCCACGGAGACGTCTCGAGGACTCTGCTCAGAGCAAGGGTGGCGGGCAGGGCCTCAGCCAGGACAGGAGCTTGGAGCTGCGGGGTTTTGTCAACCCTGGTGGGTCTCTCAGCAGCCGCCTGGCCGGGGGTCAGTGCCGGGTATCAGCCCTGTGTGCTGCAGGAGGGGTACAGGGTGGACCCAGGGCAGTGGGGGGAGGCTGGGGGCGCCCCGGGTTTGCTTCCGCCTGGATGGAGGTTCTGGACACACATCCAAGCCCAGCTGGGGCCGCCGAGCCACCCTGCACAGATTCCTGGGTGCATGCTGCCCTCTAGTGCTCACAGCGGGGAGCGCCTCTGGGAGCGGGTGGCTGTGCCTTGGTGGCCAGGAGCCCAGCTCCTGCGACTGACTGGAGGCTCCCTGCTGTGCCTTCCACGCCCTGGATAACTTCAGGGGTCACAGGGTGGGGAGGTGGATTTTGTTAAGTTTTCCCAAAGTTTTTGGATTTGTACGTACTTGGGTCCTTCTTATCATTTCCAAATCCTGGAGGGATTCTGCCTCGAATTTGGAGACTAACCTGCCAAGGAGGACCCTTCCCCAGAGTCCGTGATCGAAGCCTCTTCCTGGTGGGGCTGAGCTACCAGTTCCTACCAGCTCCTGCCAGCTCCTGCCAGCTCCTGCCCTCTCAGGGCAGGAGGGAGCTGCTCCCGCCCGCAGCCCCCGTGGATAGGACAGTGTGGTTCCGACATTTCCAGGTGGTTGCCGGTGGCGAATCACTTGGCCAGGAGACTCGGCCTTGATCCTCCGTTCTGTGTGGGCCAGCTGGTTTATGATCTGCATGACTCTGGGCAGCTGTGATGGTGGGAAATGAGCTGTCCCGACCCGGCCTCCTGCTCTCCTGGGTCAGGGTTCCTGCCGGGGCCTGAGTTCCGCTGGCAGCAGCCAGTCCAGCCCCCTGTGACCCACAGGCCTGCCCTCGCCCGTGGCCTCCCTCACATCTGAAAACCTGCAGATGCCTCTGCCCGTCGTGTGATCTGGCTCAGAGCAGAGAGAGCGATCTGCGGCGGACGCCGGCACACCTGGGGCGTCCCTGATAAGAAGGCCGTTCTTCCGAGGCCCCGTTTAAAATTAGTGCACTTGCTCCCGGTGTCGTCTTGGCCTTAGAAACTAGGTCGCCTCCGCTTCTCGTGAGCTGCAGCGCTTGGGCCCTTTGTGCTCAGCAGAGAGACGGGGTGCTCCTGGTTTTCTCTCCTGCCCCCGCTCGGCCACGAGGCCCGGCCGCCTTTGTCCTCCTGGCGGCTGCGGTATTTTTAGACGCTCCGTTCTGAGGGCAGACTCCGAGGGCCGGGCGTGGCGGCACCACTGGCTCACCTCTCTCATCTTCCTCCACAGGTGTGGTTCCTGCACAGCTGCAGCCATGGGGTCTGAGGACCATGGCGCCCAGAACCCCAGCTGCAAAATCATGACGTTTCGCCCAACCATGGAAGAATTTAAGGACTTCAACAAATACGTGGCCTACATAGAATCGCAGGGGGCCCACCGGGCGGGCCTGGCCAAGGTGGGTGACGTCCTGGCCCCAGCGTGGCCCTCCATCAGCCTGCGCCTTGGGGCTGCAGACTTGCCGGGTCCCAGCTCTGCCGGCCCCACCGGCGAGGCCCGTGCACACGGACTGTTTCAGGGCCACTCAGCTCGCAGACACGCACCTGTTGATGGTGTTCTGACAGTGTGCTAGGCACCGTTCTAGGCACTGGACCTGAGAAGTGACCGGTGCAGGCCCTGGCTCCAGGGAGCTGGCAGGTGGTGGTGAGGACACACAGCTGCGCTGCAGTGAAGTCCAGTGGGCAGCGGCCACCGGGACATTCTGGCGGGGAGCTGATGCGTCACTGAGGGATGGCAGGAGTCTAGGAAGCCTTCCAGGGGTGGTCAGTGCCTGAGGAGGCCTTATTTTCCTAGTCAAACAGTTCTTTTTTATCTGGGTGTGGTGGTGCATGCCTGTGGTCCCAGCTACTTGGGAGGCTGAGGCAGGAGGATTGCTTGAGCCCAGGAATTAGAGGCTGCAGTGAGCTACGATCGTGCTACTGCACTCCTGCCTGGGTAGCAGAGCAAGACCCTGTCTCAAAAACCAAGTCAAACCAAACCAAAAACCATGTTTTTGAGATGGCAGTAGCTGGGTCAGGGAGCTTCGAACGGCGCAGCAGTACAGGCAGAGAGCGGCCAGTGTCTCCTCCAGGTCCCGACCAGCCCCCACCTTCTCCCCGGAAGCAGCACTGTTACCGGGTCTTCTGTCTCTCCTGGCGTTTTGTGCGTGTGTGTGTGTGTGTGTGCGTGTGTGTGTGTGTGTGTGAATACAGAGACCCCCAACCCCACGTGCTAAGTATCTACAGTACTGTGCTGCTCGGCTGGGCATGGTGGCTCAGGCCTGTAATCCCAGCATTTTGGGAGGCTGAGGTGGGAGGACCGCTGGAGGCCAGGAGTTTGAGACTAACCTGGGCAACACAGTGAGATCCCATCTCTACAAAAAATACAAAAAATGAGCCGGCTGTGCTGGTGGTACATGCCTGTGGTCCCAGCTACTTGGGAGGCTGAGGTGGGAGGATCGCTTGAGCCAGGGAGGTTGAGGCTGCAGTGAGCTGAGATTGCACCACTGCACTCCAGCCTGGAGGACAGAGCAAGATCCCATCTCCAAAACAAAACAAACGGAAAAGTGTGTGCTGCTCTTCTGCACGTTTCACGGTTCCCGAAGGTGGGTGCTTCGGTCCGCGAGTCTCTGTGTTCTGGCGTGAGCCTGTTCGGGCAGTGCTCACCTCTCGTCTGGAAGCTGAATCATCTTTGCACTTGGTTCTTCCAGCTGCCTGCTGTGTGCCGCTCACTGCTCCCCCTTAGCGAGGCTGGGCTGGGCAGGCGCTCTCTACACAGTGCCAGAGGCTGAACACCTGGGCTCTGCGAGCCAGACCGAAGGGCAGCCAGACAGCGTGTAAATGAAAGTGCGAAGCCCTGTGTCAATAAAACTTTATTCCTGAACCCTAGAGTGCAAACTCGTTGTTTTCACGTGTTCTGAAGTGGTACTGTTTTTTCTTTTCCCCCAACCACTTAAAAATGGACAAAAAAAAGAAAGAAAAGAGAAAAGCCATCTTAAACGCTTATACAGAAGCAAGAAGGGGCTGGATTTGGCCCGAGGGCCGCAGTGTGCTGACACCGAGGCCGCTGCATCTCCTGGCCCTCCCCCGCCCTGCCCTCCTCCCCTGCATCCCTGGCTTTGGATTTTGTCATTAGTGTTCGTCTCTCTCCTGGTGAACTTTCAGTACCAAACTTGCATCGTTAGGTCTTCACCTCCAAGCCTTAGAGCGAGGGCAGCCGTCTGACGCCGTCTTCTGCCCGCCAAGGTGGGTGTGTTTTCTGTTTTGAGGTGAGGCCTGGCTCTGTTGCCCAGGCTGGGGCACGGTGGTGCGATCATGCCTCCTGGGCTCAAGCCATCCTCTAGCCTCTCTGTTCCCGAGTAGCTGGGACCACAGGTGTGCATCAGCAAGCTTGCTGTTTGTCTGTGACACAGCATGACGATGTGGGAATGGCAGCACATCTGTGTCAGGGGCGGAACTGTGCTGGCTGCTGCCCTCCCGGCTTCAGTTCTCTTTTTAAACGCCTTCAGTTCTCCTGTCTGATCTTCAACCATCCTCCCTGGTCCTCCAGGCTGCAGGCCGCCATCCCAGGAAGGGGCCAGGTCCTCCTCCTCTTCTCCCTGGTGCCTGTAGGGTAGTGGGGGACAGGCATGGCCTCCCCTTATCCGTTCACCTCTGTCTCCTGCCCTTGACCTACTTCTGCGTTTCCCAGGATGCAGCGGCTCTTTCTGGTTTTGGATCCACCGCGTCCTGATGTCAGGGAGATGTGGGAAGTCAGACTGCCTGCGCTCTTCCCTGGCGCACCTTTAAAGGCCCCCCCGGTCTTCTCTCTCATCCCGCACCTCCCACCAGGCTCTGCGGCCCTGGTTCTGCAGCCCTCTTCCGCTACACGGCGGCCTTGGGCACGGCCTCGGTTCCCAGCTGGACTGTTGTCCCCACGCCGGCACCTCCGCTTTGCCCCTCCCTCGTTGGCTCCTTTGCTGCCGCCTCTTTCAGCCCCGATGTTGCTGCTTCAGGCTTCTGCGCCCCCCTCCAGGCCGGTTCCCCTTTGAGATTCTCCATGCCAGGGTCTTAGGGAGGCCGATGTGGGGAGTGTGGTTTCCTGCCTTGTGTTCTGCGTGTTCCTTCCCGTGCCCCTCCAGCCGCCTCCCTCCCCACGCCCCTCCAGCCGCCTCCCTCCCCACGCCCCTCCAGCCGCCTCCTTCCCCACGCCCCTCCAGTGGCCTCCCTCCTGTGCCACTTTTCCTGGGACGCATGCGGAGAATCCTTTTTCAAACCCATGGAGGGGGCTGGGCAGTAGGGGCTGCCTGGGGCCCGTGCCCTGGAGGGAATATGTGTGTGTGTGTCTGTGTGCGTGTGTGTGTGCATGTTTATGTGCATGTGTGTGTGTGTGTCTGTGTGTGCACATGGGAGGCGGAGGGGGGAGGTGGCTCTCACACAGCCCAGAGAGCTTGGCAGCTACAGAGTCACGTTGGCACCCATGTGTGGCACTCGCACACCCTCTTGTGCAGCTCTGTGGGGACAGATGGGCTCAGGGAAGCATCTGGTTTGGCCCTGGGCAGCCCTGCATCTTCCAAATAGGGGGTCCTTGGCTGGAGCAGCCAGCCTCTTTAGAGAAGGAACACAGGCCGCCACGGGTTCTGAGTGAGCTGTGGGGGTGTCAGGGTCCCCCCTTACCCTGGTCTCCCCACCTTGACCACCCTTTGTGTCTGTGTGTACGTGCACGCCTGCCTGTGTGGGGTGGGGCTGGAGGGTTTGCTGGTTCCTTCAAAGCTGTATTTGATTATACATCACCACTTGCCCCCAGCGGAGATCTGTAGACCCCATGGAGCTGGGGCGGGGCAGGAGCTTCGGGCACAGCCCCAAGAGGGCGCTGGAGCCACCACTGCCCTGGTTGCTGGGAGGCCCTCCTGCTTTGCTGGGGCCTCCACAGCCGGGTGTCCCCGGCCACTCAAGAAGCACTGGGGTGAGCGGAGCCCCAGGAGACCCTGTCTAGGGTCCTGTTAGGCGGGGTCGGAGCTTCTGGTGCCTCCTTCCAGCTGCCTCCCAGGTGGGCACCAGCAGGGGAGGCCCTGGCCACCCTCAGTTGTACTGCTCACTGGCGTCTGTCTCTCACCGTTGGTGTGTGGCCTGTCGCCCTCCTGGCCCCGGCTGACGCTGGCCCCCCAGGAGCCCTGCGTGAGGGACTTTTGGGGACCGCCCCAGGCCTGGAAGTCCCACATGTGGCAGTGGGATCGCCCTGAGCAGCTTTCACTGCCTTCTTTTCAATGTTCTCGCCTGGAGCCCTCCTCCTGGATCCGCCGTCTCGGCAGGAATGTGGGCTGTCACTTCTGTCCTCTCACGCCCTGCGGGATTTTCCCAGAGCCTTCGGGTTTGAGCCCAGCTGGAAGTGGCCCTCGTTCACACAGCCTGTCAGCACCTGCCTGGGCGTGGCACCTAGAGTGTGGCTCCGTGTGTGCGGCGCAGACGCCGTGGGGGTGTTTGGAGCCTCCCGCATGGCTCCCAGATGTCTTTTCTACGCAGCGCCCGCTGAGGAGGGGACGGATGAACAAAGTCGCCCAAGGCACTCTTTCAAGAGTGGGGAAATCGGGAGCGAAGTGTTTTGTTCATTTCGCAGCCTCGGATGACGGATGAGCTTCCTCTCATGGCACTGCAGGGGTGGGTTCACGGCTTCCTCTCGGCCAGCAGCCTTAGCCTGGATGTGGAGCTGGGCTGGGTTGGTGGAAGTCTCCTGCAGAAGCAGCCTGGGCTTCCTGAGAGGGGGACGGCGCCTGTGTGACTCGGAACGGCGCCGGCCTGTGCAGCCTCGTCGCCCAGCTCCGTTCTCGGCAGGAGCATCTTGTGCCCAGGACTCAGGCCCTTTTGTTTCTATTTCTTGCCTTTCCACTCACGAATGTCTTGGCGTCTCACTGATTCTTCAGCTGCCCCCTTGAAATTGAAGAGAGGGGCATCCCAGCCACTGCTCCGGCACCCTGCCATCGCACGGCCTGTGCCAGCGACAGCAGCCCCAGGCACCTATTGTGCTATGGCCACAGTGGACATGGAAGGGTGGCGAGTCTCCAGAAGGAGCCAGCGTGAGCCTGGACTGTCCTTTCCTTGGGACCTGACTCACCTTGGTTAGACTCTAAAGGAGGGCTTCCCCTCACTTGGCACTGCTCACCTGGGGCTGGGTGGTTCTCTGGGGCGGGGCCATCTGGGCACTGCAGGGCTGAGCAGCACCTCTGGCCTCACCTACTTCCTGCCAGGAGCACCCTCAGTCGTGACAGCCACAGATGTCCCCAGACATGGCCACGTGTCCCCCGGGGGACAGGACCCCCTCAGTTGAGAGCCACCTGCTTGCTGTGGCTGCCGCTGTTACTGCTTTTGCCGAAGAGAGCTGCGGACCGGCTGCGGAGGCCGGACCTTCCCACCGCTAACAAGCACCTGGAGGATTAGTGTTTGCATTGCCAAGCAGAACAGTCTCTTCGCTGATGCGATCGCTGGGTCAGTCGTCCCCATTTACCTGGGGGCGGTAAATGGATTTCAGCCGTTCTGGAAGCTGCCGGTGACGTGGGCCTCAACACGGAGCTCTTCCTTTGGGGCCCCTGAGCGTGGAGGGGCAGCTTTCCAGGTTCCTGACAGATGAGCTGGAGTGGGGGTGGGGGGGGATTAGTTCTTTCTCGCTGTGCAGTTGGGTGGCCTGGGTGACCCTTGGAAGAAGGCATGGGGACTGCAGACCCCACCCTAGGAGTGAGTGTGGCTGCCCAGAGCGGCTGGGAGCGCCTGCACAGGAGGGTGCCTGGCGTCTCAAAGGCCTCTGGTGCCCAGCAGCCGACTGGAATCTGGGCTTGTCGGCCCAGAGGCTCACCCCCACCAGAGGAGGGAGCACGAGGCTGGGGATGAGGCTGGGAGCCCAGGGCGAGACGTGTGCCCCCGATAGCCCTGGTCCCTCAGCTCCTGGATGGGGCACCTGACAGGTGCTGGTCCTTGTCCTCTGCTGTTTTCTCTGCATGTCTCAGTGTCCAGGGTGGCCCAGGGCTTCCCTGGGGTGCTAGAATTCCACGTGGCTGCCAGGTTAGAGGTCCCGGGCCACAGTCTGCCCTCCCGCCCCAGTGGTGCCCTGGGCTGTGGTGTGGATTGCTGTGTGCCTCTGTTTCCTCATTGGTCAGATGGGAACTTCAGCCTAGGGGATATGTGTTCTGAGCCCCAGCACACTCTGCACAGTGCCCAGCTCAGCACAGCTCCTGTCCTGCCCCACAGCCCCGGCCCCTGCCCCCGTCCCATGTGGCGCCGTCACCCTCCCTGCGCTTCCTGTCGGCCTGCTCCAGGCGGTGTGGGAGGACTGTGGGGTCGGATCTATCTCCCAGCATTTCCTAGTGCCTGGAAGCTGGGTCGCCCCATAGTGGTCTCGGCCAAGTCGAGCCACTAGAGTGAATCTCAGCTCCAGCCCCTGGTGTCCAGGTGCTTGTGGCCCCCGGTGGCCTCATGGTAGCTGGCGGGCGCAGTTCTCGTTTCCTGCTGCTAGAGGGCATGGTGGGCCGCAATGCGTATGACCAAGTGGGAAGAGTCCCGTTTTAAAAATGCCTTGCCCAGCATGTTGGGAGGCTGAGACGGGAGAATCACTTGAGGCCAGGAGTTCGAGACCAGCCTATGCAACAAACTGAGACTCCATCTCTACAGAAAATTAAAAAATAAAAAATGAGCTGGGCATGGTGGTGCGAGTCTGAGGTCCCCGCTACTCGGGATGCTGAGGTGGGAGGATCTCTTGAGCCCAGGAGCTGGAGGCTGCAGTGAGCTGTGATTGTGCCAGTGCACTCCAGACTGGGTGGCATAGCAAGACCCTGTCTCAGAAATAACAACAACAACAACCACACATGCCTCAAAATGTGAGTGTGTGAGCCTCCAGATGCCAGCACACACACACGCCCCATCCCCCATCTTTCCTGAGTCTAATCCTGCACACACGTGTCAGGGTCGGCCCTGGTGCTGTCGGGGGCTGTGCCCAGCTTCCAGTCCTGGGAGATGGCTCTGCCCTAGCAGGAGAGACCCCTGTTGGCCGCACAGTCTCCCGGGGAGTTTGATAAGGCAACAGAGTGGGCTGTCCCGAGGTGCAGATCTGGGGGTGCTGGTCCCCGGGGAGCCGGCGTCACAGTCTGCTCTCTGGCCTCGCCCTGAGGCTCCGAGGGTGCCACCGACTCGCGTCTTGGTCTTGCAGATCATCCCCCCAAAGGAGTGGAAGCCGCGGCAGACGTACGACGACATTGACGACGTGGTGATCCCGGCCCCCATCCAGCAGGTGGTGACGGGCCAGTCGGGCCTCTTCACGCAGTACAACATCCAGAAGAAGGCCATGACGGTGGGGGAGTACCGCCGCCTGGCCAACAGCGAGAAGTACGCAGGGCGGGCGGCATGACCCTGGCTCATGGGGGCCTTGGGGGCAGAGAAGGCGCGGCACACGCAGCCCCCATAGCACAGCTGGCCTGCTCCATGTGCCCGGCGTGGGCGGCGGCAACCCCTGAGCCAAAGGTGGATCCGGACCCTCTCCCAGCCTGGGCTGACCCACACCGCCCTCACCTCAGCTTCCCAGGGCTCCCCAACACACAACGGGCGGCACCCCAGTCCCCAGCCCCGGAGCACGTCCTCCACACCCTCCTGTGATGCCTGAGTGGCTCTCTGGCTGGCACAGGCACACACGAGGGCACACAGGCACATACGAGGGCACAGACACAGGTACACACGAGGTCACACAGGCACATACAAGGGCACAGACACAGGTACACACGAGGTCACACAGGCACATACGAGGGCGCAGACACAGGTACACACAAGGACACACAGGCACATACGAGGGCACACAGGCACATACGAGGGCACAGACACAGGTACACACGAGGTCACACAGGCACATACGAGGGCACAGACAGGTATACACGAGGGCACAGGCACAAGCACACTTGAGGGTACATGTGGACACAGGTACACGTGGGCACACTTGCATCCATACACAGGCACACACAGTACACACGGGCACACACATGTCCATACACAGGCACACACAGTACACACGGGCACACACATGTCCATACACAGGCACACACAGTACACATGGGCACACACGTCTATACACAGACACACACAGTACACATGGGCACACGCATGTCCATACACAGGCACACACAGTACACACGGGCACACACATGTCCATACACAGCCACACACAGTACACACGGGCACACACGTCCATACACAGGCACACACGGTACACACGGGCACACACATGTCCATACACAGGCACACACAGTACACACGGGCACACACATGTCCATACACAGGCACACACGGGCACACACATCTCCAAACACAGGCACACAGTACATGGGCACACACGTTTATACACAGGCACACAGAGTACACACAGGTGCACACACATCCATACACAGGCACACACATGGGTACACACGGGCACACATGTTTATACACAGGCACACACATGGGTACACACGGGCACACATGTCCATACACAGGCACACAGAGTACACAGGCACACACATGGGTACACGTGGGCATGTTTACTGGACACGGGCACACGCAGGCTCATACACATGCCTGTCAGGCACACCCATGTGGGCACACCCATGGGCACGTGTGGGTACACATGGCACCTTCGTGTACTGGCAGTGTTCCGAGTGTGGGTCCCTGGTTCCACAGGCACAGCCACACACACCCTCTGTGCTGTGCAGGCCCATCCTGTCACTGTGCCCTCCTCCCTGTCTGTGGCCCCCGCCCTGTTGCTCTCTGAGGTCCACATGCCTTGTGGCTCTGGCGCCAGGGCGGGGCCTGGTCTGTCCTGGTCGCCTGACCTTCCCAGCCCCCAGTCTGTCATCTAAGCTCGGTCTTTGCCACTCAGGGATGACAAGAGCCACCCAGGGCCTCTGTCCCGTGCCCACTCCCCCTGGCTTGTGTTCTGATGTGGGTGCCTGGGGCCAGGATAGCTGAGGAGGCTGCGTGGGTTTGCACCACTTGTCACCCATGGAAATGCTCTCTCCCACACTCAAGCGGGTTACGTGGTACTCCAGGCAGGGGCAGTGGGCAGTCTTGAACAGAGCCCTTCCTGCCTCTGTCGTGGGTGCCCTGGGTTCCTGGTGGCTGAGGGTGGACTGGGTGGCACCCATGCCCCACCCTGAGCTGGTTTTGGGGCGTTTGTTCACCAGGTACTGTACCCCGAGACACCAGGACTTTGACGACCTTGAACGCAAATACTGGAAGAACCTCACCTTCGTCTCCCCGATCTACGGGGCCGACATCAGCGGCTCTTTATACGATGACGTGAGTACCAGGCCCTGGGGAAGAATAGGACCAGCTTCCTTGTGGGTGGCGGCGGGGAGGGCCCTGAACGGAACTCTGCCTTAGCAGATGAAGCTTCCAGGTGGGCAAGGTTGACCACCTCGCCCGGCTCTGGCTTTGGGCCGTGTCCTGTGGTCAAGAAAGAGGAAGCCAGGCTTTTTCTGATTTTTGCAGGGCCCCTCCAGCCACACCCTGCAGCCTCTGTCCTGAGCGCGTGCTGGCTCCGCCTCTGGCCTCAGCAGCTGGTACACGGCATGTTACGCACACGTGTATTGTTCTAGTCCCTGTGCTCGTCTTCCTGGCACGGGGGAGGCCCGAGTCCTCAGCCAGCCAGGCTGTCTGCTGGATTTGGCTCCAGCCCGCTCCCTGCCTTGCGCCTAGGGCCCCAGATACTGGGGTGAGGGGGCCCTGTTTCCCTTCTGGGGCCTGGCCTGCTGGACATCCCCTTGTCCACGCAGCCCAGGCCCTCCATGAGGGCAGCTGGCGGGCACCCCCAGAGGCCCAGCCTCAGGGATAAGGCCCCCACGGCCCTGCTGGACGCCAGCTATGTGGCCTGCGTGGCGGGCGTGTGTAGAGCAGTGTCGAGAGGTCGTGGCCAGCCTTGCCCTGCCCTGCGTGGTTTAGCCCGGCGGTGCTGTGGCCCGCGCAGGACTCGGTTTGCTCTCTGAGCTGAGGACGCCGGTTTCTCACACAGAGGATTCTGTTCAGTGAGCCCCCCTTGGAGAAGCTGAGGAGCCCCCTCAGTGTGGAGCCAGGCATAAGGCCGAGGCATCGGCCAGCTTTGCTCCCGGCCCCGCCACTTCCTTCCTGGGCCTCAGTTTTCTACTGATAGAATGGGGCATGGGGTGTGCAGCTGTCCTCCCAGGACGGTGCCCACTTTCCCCCAACTCCACAGCAGGTGGCAGGCTTGTGGAGGGCGCACGGCCCGGCCTCGGGGACCTTTCAGCCCCTGAGCACGCAGCTGCAGTCCTGGTGTGGCAGACCCGTCCCGTCTGCACATGTGGCCGCCCCGCACCTGGTTCAGCTCGAGGGGAACAGCTGTGTGCCGGGGGAGCGCGGGCAGTTGCAGCAGCCTCGGCCACCTCCTTTTCCCTCCTGTCCCAGTGCACACGCGGTTCCCACGGGGGCTTGGCCACCCCAGGCCTTGCACCTCCCAGAGTCCTTGCTCGAAGGAGTGTGGATTTGGCCCCAGAAGCCAGCTCGACAGCAGAGGGTCCAGCGGTAGATTGACAGGGAGCTGCTTCCTGGAGCTGCCTCTGGTCTGGCGGTGCTTGCTGCCCGGGCGGTGAGCAGTGGCTGGCTGTCATGGGTGGCAGCCATGACACCCATGGTGGTGGGTGGCCTGCTTCCCTGCTTTCTTTGAAGCCCTCCCTGCTAAGTCAGAGGGGCACAGCCTCCCAGGCTGCCTGTTTCCCACGTCAGGCAGCTGAGGCTTGGAGCAGCCCTCTTGGACAGCCCGAGTTCAGGACTGGGCCTCCCCTTTCTATCTGGTTTCAGGCCCACTTTCCGCCCATGCCCTTGGCACCTCCTGGAAGCTGCTGAGGTAGGGGGAGGCCAGGGCTCCATTCACCCGGGCCAGGATGGCAGGCTTGCCCCCGATCTGTGGCCCTGAGGGAGGTCTTCCCAGTGACTCTGACAGGAAACCCCTGACTTTCTAGGAGCCTCGGAGCCACTTTGATCCCTGCAAACATGACCAGAGCCATCTCCCTGGCCGCCGGGCGGGAGCAGGAATAGGCATTGGCATCGTGGGCAGGGGGTGGTCAGCGTCAGCAGCCTGCCTGCTTTAGGTGGGGACACCGAAGCCCAGAGCTGGGACGTGTGCCCGTGGCCATGCGCTCTGTGCCCAGTCCGGAGCCGGGGCCGTCTGTGGGAGGGGCAGCCGCTGTGCCCGCTCACTGGTCACTTCCCACCCTGACCTCCGCCGCAGCCTGGACGGTGCTCCCAGTGTGCGCGGGTCGGCGTCAGGGACTTCTGGCAGCCCCAGCATCCCAAGTGTGGCTCTGCCACCCACACTGTTACGTGCCGCTGCCCGGGGGGGGCGTTCACGCCCGGGGACCTGAGGGCCTAGGGCTGCGTGCTGGTGCGAGTGTGCAGTCAAGCCTGCCTGGCACGCGGCTGGTGTTGTCCCCGTGGCATTTAGGGTGTTTGGATTAGGCGGGATCTTTTGTTTATGGATCCGTTCCTGTTTTAAATAGCACCCTTCAGATGTCATGCACATGCCCCTCAATTCACCCATTTAAAAAGTACAATTCATGGGTTTTAATACATTCCTGCAGAGTCATGCAGCAGTTACTACTGTCAGTTCTGGAACATTCCATTGCTGCGAAAGGAAACCCTGTCCCCATCAGCAGCCACTCCCCGCTCTCCCTGTCACCCCCAGGCTGGCACCCACGCATCTTCTTCCTGTCTCTGGATGGGGCTGTCCTGGACATTGCATAGAAACGGGACCACACGCTGCGTAGCCTTTCCTGTCTGCTTTCTCCCACCAAGTGTGACATCCTCAAGGTTCATCCACACTCTGGCCTGTGTCACAGCCCCATTCCTTTTCACGGCTGAATAATACTCCGCTGCAGGGATATACAGGTTGAATATCTCTTATCTGAAGTACGTGAGTCCAGCGTATTTCAAATTTGGGATTTTTTTAAATTTTGGAATATTTGCACATACATACTGAGATATTTTGAAGATGGGACCCAAGTCTGTAGTAGTTTGTCCTTGCGTTGCTGTAAAGAAGTACCTGAGGCTGGGCATGGTGGCTCACGCCTGTAATCCCAGCACG